CCCGTGTCCCCTGCATCGGCAGGCGGACTCTCAACCACTGCGCCATCAGGGAAGCCCAACTTTTCTATAATTTTAAGTCACCAAGGTTTTTGGTACACCAGGGAAAATTTGCATAGGAAGAAAAAACGTTAATGTTTCAAATGTCAATATTTTAATATTAGTCTACTTTAATAAATTTTAGGAAACAATCGTCTCCTATTGATTTAGTAACATTTGTGGATTAATATTTCTATATTATAATACAAATGCACTATAAACAAAAGTAGATAATTTTCCACACAGCAAAATTTGTATAGTAAAGTATGTCTACAAGATTGTATAGTTTTAGAAAACTATAGAATTGGTTTTGGAGTTTCTGTTGCTGAGTGGGGCACCATTTTCTATTGAGTGCCATCAAATCACCTAAAGAAAAATATTTGAGTATAAAATACATGGAACCTTCAACCTTGAAAGATAAAATAGGAAATATAAAATTCTATACAAAAGCCCTGTGTTGCAGTTTTGATTTTGAAGGCTTATTTAATTGAATTTTCTTTGTTTCCCCTCATCTCTAACAAAAGGGGAATTGTGGGTTTTTTTTCTGCCCCTCAACTCAAGCTTCCTACAATCCTGCATATCTAAATTAAAAATAAAACATGCCAGAGACTTCCCTGGTGGTCCAGTGGTTAAGATTCTGTGCTTCCAATGCAGGGAGCACGGGTTTGATCCCTGGTCCAGGAACTAGGTTCCCACATGCCGCACAGCGCAGCCAAAAAATATAAATAAATGAATAAAAATAAAACATGCCAAACTTCATTGATTCTGAGATATACATCTTTTCATATTTCAAAAACTCTGAATCAGTATACATTTACAATTGATGGCAAGGTTTTTTTCTTTCATAGTGATACATAAAATAATGGTGTGTTGTATAATCCATGCTAGCTCAGATTCGATGAAATCTAATTACAGTTGTGTGAGACGTGGGCTTTGGAGTAAGCTAGTTAACCACAGTTCATAGCTCTTAAACTCTTCCCTAGTCCTGAAATCTTAACTCTGTCAGGACCAAAATCTTCCCTAGGATGTATCCCATGTGAAAACCAGAATTATTATAAGCCTTAACAAGACAGATTAAATACAAATAGAAACAAGTCAGTGGTTTTGTTAGCCTTTAGCCTGTGGCCCAGCAGAGCAAAGATCTGTATCAGGATAGAAAGGGTAAAGTTCCTCTTAGCAGCATTTCTCCAGACAAGCAAGAGGCAGATCTCTGATTCCAGTTTTATGCTTATATGCACAAAGAAAGGTGTCTATTCACACCACTGTTATGATTTATATTCAACATATGTATAATTTTTATATGATAAAGAATAAGATACCAGTTTCTCTGTACAATTTCTGAATTACCTACTCACAGATTTAAGAAAATGTAGAAAAGTGTATACTCTTAAACTAGAAGAATTAAACTTTAAATCAAGGATGTTTAACATTAATATTCTTTGGAAATTTCTCCTATCCAACTACCACTCTATCCTCTATTGGAATTATTTAGAAGTACAACTTCAATCATTTGTGTTTATATATATATATAATGTGTGTGTGTATAATATATATATAATCTGCAATTGATTATCTAATATGGCATAGCTATTTCAGCTATTTCTAAAGAAGTGTATCTGGAGAAAGTATTAACATTAGGAGAAGTTTGTTTTAGAAGATTTTGATACTATAATGAGCTCTCTATAAGTAACGTTTACTAACACTTTAGGCTTTGGTATTAGGTCAAAATTATGATTTTAGTCCATGTTTGCAGTACAGTGGCAAGAGCAGTGAAGGAATGCAGTGAAGGGGTGAGGAGATTCGAAAGACTGTGGAGGCTCCTTAAAGTAGACTGTCCTGGTATTGAGTTCCAATATATGGTCTGGGTCAGAAGCAAAAATATGAGTGTGAAATCGCTAACCTCCATCATTTTATTGTAAAGAGTGCACTGCAAGCAAGATTCATAGTACCATCATAATAGTTAATCAGTTTGGGTTCTTAGAGATGTAGTCACATTTCCCTAATATATTTATATATTGAATACACACATGGATCTAACTAGATTACCACTCCTGGCCTGGATCTGATTTAAGGTGCATGAGCACAAAATTCCCAAACTGGAAGAGTAGATCATTGACTGTTTTCATCTACCCATAAATGTTACATGCCATTAACATAATAAAAATCTTAGTATATGAAGTATCTAGGCAAATTCATAGAGACAGACAGTAGATTAGAAGTTACCAGGGACTGCAGAGAGAAGAATATAAAGTTATTGCTTAATGGGTACAGAGTTTCTATTTGGGGTGATGAGAAAGTTTGGAACTAGATAGTGGTGACAGTTGCACAGCAATGTGGATGTAATTAATACCACTTAGCTGTACACTTAAAAATGGAAAATTTTAAGTCATATATATTTTACTACAGTAAATAAAAAGTTTTGACCATGTGTGGTTTATAAGTTGTTCAAAGCTAATTCATAGAAATTATAGCTAGTTTAGAATTGTATTTCCTTCACATGAAATAATTAACTAATTCTGTACTTCTGATTGCAAATGTGACATAAATATCCAAAGTTGTTTCTTTTCAGAAGAGAAATTTGGAAAACTTGAAATATGACTGAGAATAACAGAAAAAAATCCAAACAAACTTCTTACTTTAATTGGTTCAGGCTGCATCACAGGTGCAGGCATAGCAATGGCACTTGGAGCATAAACCTGGTGATACGTTGCTTGAACTCCATGATCAGAATAAGGCTATAACAAAACAAAGAAAAAAAATATTGTTTTTCATTTATTAATTAAAAATATTTATTCAGCATTACGATTTACTAGGCATTTTGCTACACAATGGAGAAACACAGATGAGAAACACATTCTCTATCTTTAATTCACTTATAGACTTATCTGAGACAGACTAGTCAAAATTACCCTAAGTCCTATGACACATATCTAGGGATGCATGGGAAAGAAAAGAATTACTTGATGTAGCTTTAGAAAGTTGGGGAGGGGGTCAGGAGAAGTTTTCTAGTGGAGTTTATGCTTGAATTTGAAGAATTAGGGAGAGAAGGTGGGAACAGTATGTGAAAAGGCAGAGAGGCAACTAAGAGCACACCTCATTTGGGAGACCTGTGTAGGTTGTTTGGTACAGCTGGAAGGAAGATTATTCACCGAATGACAGCTGAAAGATGAGGCAGTAGAGTAACAGGAAGGGAACAGATCATGTAAAAGCAGATTTATGGCTTTTCCAGCAGATGGTGGCACTATTCAGTGAAATATGGAATATAAGAAAAGCAAGTTTGATGTTTATGTTATTGTGAGGGGGTTAAAGAGAAGAAGTTAGTTTTGTAACACATAAAAGTTGAGATATTGTAGGACTTCTAGTAGAGGTATACAGTCAATCAAAAGCTATTGTAGATGTGGCTCTAAAGCAGCACTAATAGAAATAATGTGAACTACATGTTAATTAAAATCAAGACAGTCAAAAGGTAAAAACTTCCAGTTATAGGTAAATAAGTACTAGGGCTGTAATGTACAACATGATAAATATAATTAACACTGCTGTACGTTATATAGGAAGGTTGTTGAGAGTAAATCCTAAGAGTTCTCATCACACACAAGTTTTTTCCTATTTCTTTAATTTTCTATCTATATGAGATGATGGATGTTCGCCAAACTTGTGATAATCATTTCATGATGTATGTAAATCAAATCATTATGCTGTACATCTTAAACTTACACAGTGCTGTATGTCAATTATATCTCAATAAAACTGAAAGAAAAATTTCCAGTAGCCATGTTAGAAAAGTAAAAAGAAACAAGTAAAATTAATTTCCAGTAATATATTTTATTTAAATAAATATATTAAAAATATATTAAAGTGTATTCAATATAAAATTAGTGATAAATTTTACATTCATTTTTCATACTATGTCATTAAAACTTGGTGTGTATTTTGCACTTACAACACATCTCAATTCAGACCAGCCACACATTTCAAGTGCTCAATAGCCTCATGTGGTAATGGTTATTGTTGTACTGGAGAGTGCAGGTCTAAAATTCAGAAGTGAGGCTGGGGTTAGAGAGATGAGTATGGATGATAACATCAGAGTGAGTATGTAGGGTGAAACAATGTAGAATCGAATATGAAATCATGGGGAGCAAAAGATCAGCTTACAAAGGAAAATGAAAGGAGGTAAAAGGATTGCCAGAAGAGAGCAGTATCATGGAAACCAAAGGTAGGAAGAGTTTCAGGGAGTATGTCCAATGTCTCTGACAGGTCAAGAAAGACTGAAAAGAAAGGAAAGTATTTGGCAATTAGGGAATCACTGAGGAACTTTATCAAAGGCAGCTTCAGTGGAAAGGTAATGAAGTAGACTTTAGCAGGTGAGGGGAGAATGGGTAGTGAGGCAGTGGAAATACTAGATGTAGAGTAATTTTTCAAGCTTAGCTTTGAAAGGTAGAAGAGAATTAAGGCATTGGTGGGGGTGTGTCAAAGGATAGTAATTATCTCCTACCAGGTGCTAGGCACTATACAAAGAACTTTCTGTATACAACAACTCTAATCTTTGCATCAATCTTGCAAAATAGATTTTCCGGATGTCTTTATGTTATTAATGTGGATATTACAAAACCAACCCTGTGAAGAGTTAAGTGATTACTCAAAGAAACACACTAGTAAGTGGTGAAGCTATGAACCAATGGAGAGAAAATGTCTTAAAATACATGAGAAAAGAAGGATAATAGTGTAATGAGGTCCCTGAGGAAGAGGGAAGTTATAGTATCCAGAGCAAAGAGGCACAAATAACCTTGGGTGAGAAAGGTTACTAAAAAAATATAAGAAGCTAAGGATGGGTTATGAGTCAGGTAAGTTTGTATGTTGGGGACTGGAAGCTGAGTTGGTTTCCACAAAGTAGTTTCTATTTACTTTGCAAAGTAGAAGGCACTATATTCTAAGAGTGAAGGGGGAAATAGCTACTGAAATAAGTGAGAAATAATGTTAATTCATTTTTATATTTTAGGGAATCTAACTATCAAACTCATAAGAACAAGCCCTGTGTTTTTTAATTTTAGGGAAAAAACACTTAAAATATAAACCACCCCACCCTACTTATTAAGTTATATATTAGACTTATATCTTCTACCAGAAACAATATTAAAATAAAAATATGCTTATATCATTTTGTATGGAAATATCATAAAATTAATGGTATAAGTTATAAGCTAATAGAAGCAATAGTTCCAGAAAAGTCTTATTAGAGTCCACTAAATAGTGAAATATAACCTGATAAGTTACCTGATGTCAGGAATTAAGAATATGGTTCAGTGCCAAAGTAGATTATGGCTAAAAACCTAATGTAAAAGCATTCTTACCTCACTGTTCCCCTCCTTGAAAACCAGAAAACAACAAAAAGAACAAAAGATAGATTTTAAAAATGCCATCATCAAGTAAACGAGGAAGTGTCCACGATCCTGAATCACAATGTAGAATGTCTGCCAAATGCTATGCAATTTGGACCAATACAAGGGAGAATTCTGAAGCCTGAGGAAGGTTATAATTTCCCTGAAGGTAAATGTTCTGAAAGGCCTATTCAAAGATTCTTTAGAGTCTCAAGTGTAGGGGTGTGTCAGGCCAAGGCAGAAGGAGGAAAGATCTTCACAGAGATCCAATTTTACTTAATAGCAGGGGAGGCAGAATTGAAGGAGAAATAAGGTTTTCACTATTTTGTGGTCTACTACCTTGCATTATAGCTGAGGAACATTGCTGGAGGTGAAGCAGGGTGCAAGTGGAAAGTGAAGTAACAATTATTACACCCCCATACAGAAAATCTACAAAAAAAGAGACTGCCAGGAGCCAAATGATCTCCAGAATGCTAAAAACTGAGGGAAGAGCATCTCAAGCAGGAGACATAAGCAGACTTGGTGGTAGGCTGTTTAAGACAACAGCATGCTTCTCCTACCCTGTATTTCAAAAAATAACTGGCATCATTTAAAGACATGTAAAGATATGAAGGAAAAGGAAGCAACCTAAGACTCTTCTCATCCTCTCCAACTCCATCAAGGGAAAAGCAAAAAGGGGAAAAAAAAGAAAAAGATGAGAAATCACTCCAGAAAATAGTAGAAAAGTTCAGATAAATATAATTCTTTAGCTCTTAAAGAAATTATAATAACATGATCTCTATAAAGAGCTCCAAAAAGATTTTAAGCCAACAGACAACATTTACAGGCAATGATGTAAGCAAAGCGTCAGAGTTTGGGATAAAAAAGATAAAAATAAAATAGAGATGAAATCTTCATTAGTCATAATAAAAAGTAGACTAAACACAATGAAAAATATAGTCATAATTGTCTTGAAAAAGCATATAAAACATTAAAAACTACTATGATAAATTACCTCAGAGATGACAGATATGAAAGACAAAAAAGAGATCTAACATATACATAAATGGTATTCCTGAAGAAGAAGAAACACACTGGAATAAAAAATTTTTTTTTCAAAGTTCTAACAGGAAAAAAGAAACTGAAATAAAAAACTAGCCTGAGAGTCAAAGGAGCAAATTGTGTCCCAGGAAAAATATTATAAAGACTGATAAATTCCAAGACATATCCTGGTGAAGTGATTTCAAGTTAAGACAGACTTTTCAGGCACGCAGGAAGAAAAAGCAAATTACATATAAGGGGTAAAGTCAGGCTGGTTTCAAACTTCTTTACAGCTATACTGAACATCAGAAAACAGTAGACTAGAAGTTCTAAGAGAAAAAAGTGTTGTTATGGGTTGAATTGTGTTCTCTTAAAACTTATGTGTTGAAGTCCTAACCCCCAGTATGTCAGAGTATGACCTTCTTTGGAGAAAGGGTCTTTACAGAAGTGAGCAAATTAAAGTATGGTCATTAGGGTGGAAACTAATACAGTATGACTGGTATCCTTATAAAAATGGGAAACTTGGACCTAGAAACAGGAAAGATAATGTGAAGACACAGGGAGACAGTGGTCATCTACAAGCCAAGAAGAAAGGCCTGGAATAGATCCTTCCCTCACAGTCCTCAGATGGAACCAATTCTTCCAACACCTTGATTTTGGACTTCTAGGCTCCAGAACTGTGAGAAAATACATTTCTATTTTTTAAGCCATCCAGTTCATGTACTTTGTTCCAGCAGCCTTAGCAAACTTATACAAGTATGATGCAGCTATTTTATAGCTAGTCTTAACTTCTTTCAGACTTATAGACAACAAACATGTTGAACAAACAAGGATGTACAAACTCAGAGAGTATATAGCACATATAAGCCTTCTTTAACAAAGACTGCTTGCAGATTCAGTCAACCGAGTGATAAATGGAGGGTGAGATGAAGAATGGAGAAATTATAGTAAAAGTATTGATAGTAAACATTAAGATCCAAAATTGTGGAAATTATTGTTCCAGAAAAATTATGTTATAAACCTTAGCAATAATAATAATAATTACAAAAATGCACTCAAATTGGGATGTGGGTATTAATAGATACCCAGTAGGTACCCAATCTTTCACAACATATTTAAAACATACGATGTACAATTTCTGGCATATAGATGATGAGGTTATTAGTAATGGTTTGCAAATATAATTTAAACACATGGAAAATAATATTTACAGTTTACAGTTATAAAATAAATTTGATTTACATTTTTGAAGGAAGAATTTTTTAAAGATTATTTTCTTCTTTGACTTCATTTTTATACACTTTTAATTGACAGACTGTTAGTAACAATACAGATTGACAGGCAAACCAGAAGGAGAAGCATTTATCTTACTCTTTCAAGGGGACTGAGTCAGGGAATAGCCTAGTAAAGTGAACAGATTTGAGAAATGGTTCAGAATTAGTTAGTGAAGAAGTCTAAGATGAAGCCTCTTAGATATAAAAAAGGGGAAGAGATGTGAATAAATCAAAGAAAACATAAGATATTCAACCTCAATGAGGGTCTTGAATAAATATCTTTAGAAAAGAAAAATAAATAAGTGTTAAGAGGAAGTGGTTATAGATAACTTACTTTGAGACTAACACATACCTCTTGAACTGAAGCTTCCATCAGAGACAGCGGAGGAGGAACATATCCACCATCCTGTGCAATTTCCACTGGTTGATAAATAACCTCAGAAGGTTGCAGGTGTAAGAATGGAGCAGAAGAGGCAGGAGACTAAAACACAAAACCATACTTCTAATTAAAATCAGATTGGTTATTTCAATTAAAACAAATGACTTACCCAACACACGAGAGAAATATTGGTTTCACATTTTCCTAAAGTTGTTTTTCAGGGACAGCACAGAAGTATCTTAGCAACAAACTAGGAACTCTGGGTTGTTATAAATTCCAGTTGTGTAGATGTTATTAATAACTTTATCACTTATAAGTACTAAAATTTCTTAGCACTTTAGAATCTTATATATAAATTAAGATAATCATTAAGATCACAATTAAAGGTTGTAATAATATAACCTATAGTATTTAAATTGTCATAAACGTCTATTCTCGGCTTTCTGACTTCCCATGGAAGTGGGACATATCATTAAACAATCTTTTTGATGGTACACTATTTGTTATCAAAAGTTGGGAGATGGAATACTTATTTAGGAGCATAAATAAAACAAGCAAAATCTGAAGTAAAGCTAGAAAAATGCTAAATTTTCTAATACTAATAGTAAAAAGAAGTAAATTTTCATTTCAGTTTACATAGCGCTCACTTATTCATAAAATGCTTTCACTTACATGATCTCATTTGACCATCACAAAAATCATGTGAGAAAACTTTCAACAGTATAGTATCATTACTTCCACTTTGCAAATGAGGAAGCTGAGAAATAAAGTGAGTAAATGAATTGCCAAATGTATCACAGTTAATAAATACAAGAGGAAGGTCTCAAATCTAGTTCTCCTGACTTAAATATTCAGGCAGTCTTCACAAAAACAAGGAAAAAATTTAATATTTACCTGAGGAACACCCCACTGCCACTGACCTGGTAGACACTGTGCAGGGGCCTAAAATGAAAAAAAAAACACCCACCCAGATTATAAACAAGGGTTAAAACTGAATATCAACATGCGATAGTATGAAGCTGGACCCCTACACCTCAAACCATATACAAAAATTAACTCAAAATGGAACAAAGATCTAAATGTAAGAGCTAAAACTATAAAACTCTTATAAGAAAACATAGGTGCAAATCTTTGTGACTTTGAACCAGGTAATTAGAAAAATTATGACCTCAAAAGCACAAGCAACAAAAGAAAAAAAGGATAAACTGGATTTCATCAACCTGAAAAACTTTTGTGCTTCAGAAGACACCATCAAGGAGGTGAAAATAAACCCACAATATTGGAGAAAATATTTACAAATTATAAGAAACTTATAAGATTGTAAGAATCTGATAAGAAACTTGTATCTACAATATACAAAGAACCCTTATAACTCAATAGTAAAAAGTAAGTAACCCAATATAAAAACTGGTAAAGGATATGAATAGACATTTTCTCAAAGAAGATATACAAAAATGGCCAATAAGCATATAAAAGATATTCAACATCATTAGCCTTGGGCTGTGGAAATCAAAACTACACTGTGATATCACTTCACATACACAAGGAGGGCTATAATCAAAAAGGTAGATAATAAGTGTTGGCAAGGATGTGGAGAAATTAGAACCCTCATAAACTGCTGGTGGGAGTGTAAAATGGTGCAGCCTTTGGAAAGTATGACACTTCCTTAAAAGGTTAAACACAGAGATACCATATGACTCAGCAATTCTACTCCTAGGTATAAGATCTTAGAGAAATGAAAACGTATGTCCACACAAAAATCTGTACATGAATGTTCATAGCAGCATTATTTGTAAAAGCTGAAAAGTGGAAACAACCCAAATGTCCATCAATGTAAGACAGATACACAAAATGCGGTATATATCCAAATAATGTCCAGAACAGGCAAATCTATAAAGACAGAAAGTATATTACTGGTTGCCTAGGACTGGGAGGAGGCGTAAGGGGAATGCCTACAAATGGGTAAGCTTTTTTTTTGGTGGTATGGTTGCATAGCTCTGTGAATTTAGTAAAAACCACTCTGTTGTACACTTTGAAAAGATAAATTGTATGGTATGTGAATTATATCTAAATAAAGCTGTTATTTAAAAAAAAAGAGGGTCAAATTACTTAAGGTACTTATTGTAAGATGATAATATAGAACATAGACTTATTATTTCTTAAATTAGTTGTATTATTCCTTAATAATAAATGTTTTACTTTTAACTTATTCTCCACATTTAAAAAGGCTTTTTTTAATTATTAAAGTAAAAAAACAGAAAAAAAGATCCCATGAATCTACCATCTAAACTGTTAATTTCATGCTGACCACATCAATTTCTAATGGATTACATCACTGTGTTATAATGATGACCAAGATAACGTGAGGTCTATGTTCTGTATACCATATTAAAAAAGGCAGGATAATGTATAATCTCTTAAGATAATATTTTAATAAAAAATCTGAAATAAAATGACATATATGTAGATTTGTTAGATAAATAAAATCACTATCTACTTATGAAGTAAGAAATACAAAGGAGATAAATACTGATTGAACCAGGCATTATCTGATTTGACTAACAAAAATTTCTGTTTTGCTTGCTAAAGGATGCTGCTTATTTATTATTTTTTTGTAAATTTAAAAAATTTTTATTGGGGTATAGTTGTTTTACAATATTGTGTTAGTTTCTCCTGTACAGTGAAGTGAAGCAGAGTTCCCTGTGCTATACAGCAGGTTCTCACTATTTATCTATTTTATATTGACTAACAAAAATTGATAAAACTATCAATCTCAGAATTTGTAAAAAAAAAGAGCAAGGGAAGATATTATCAGAGTGGCAATTTTTAGGGCAGAATGATGATGAATAAATATATAACTGTAAAGAAATATGTGAAGTGAAATTATTTCTTACATTGCAAAATACTATGTTACAAATTGGTACAAAAATCTTTCCCGAGTATATCTAGGTAATATACTTCCAATTTTATAATTTGTGCCAAGTGGAAAACCAGAGCCAAAGTATAAAATTAAATTGTATCAGAGTTCTATTCAGAATACGTCTATGTCATGTATGTATATATGTAATCAATTAATGAAGGAGGAGCTGGTCTCCACAAGGTGCAAGCAGAAAGAAAGCAACTTTAGTCTTTCTCATCCCTGGCACTTTAAAAGCATTGTGTTGAAGCTAGTGGTTACCAGTGGTGAGAGGGACAGGGGGAGGGGCAAAATAAAGGTAGGGGGTTAAAAGGTACAAACTACTATGTATAAAATAAATAAGCTATAAGGATATATTGTACAGTACAGGGAATATAGCCAATATTTTATAATAACTATAAATGGAGTATAATCTATAAAAAATTTGACTCACTATGTTGTACACCTGAAGCTAATATAATCTTGTAAATCAACTATATTTCAACAAAAATAAACTTTTCAAAGGGTAAAACAAACAAACAAACAAATAAAAACCACTGTGTTGAGCTGTTTTTCCTTGCCCCTGGATAAAAATTAGGATAGATCACTGTTTGGCGTGTGGCAGATTGCAAATGCTGACACTCTGGTTAGGTACTTTGTTCCTTTGGTGATCTCCCTGCTGAGAACTTCTGACTGCAATTCTAGACCTTGATTCTAGGACTCTACTTCACACAGATATTTTTCTCTCCTGGGGTCACCTTAAAGTCTTTTGGAAAGAGTCTCTTCTGTGAGGTTCATATCTTGCTCTTGGGAAACATAAACCTTTGCTGCTGTGAGACGTGCAGCACATTCCTACCGTAGCCTTCTCTTCTGGCTCTGCCTCCATAGACCACTCCAGCTTCTTCTTCAGGCTTTTTTTTTAAGGAGAGGTCACGCCCAAGTGATACTGTCTCACAAATTTCAGGGGACAAATATTAAACTCTCTTAGTCATTCTCTGAAGTCACCTTCACTTGGTTGAGGAGAATGGGAAATGCCATAGCACTCTAACAACTCTCTTGTTAAAAAGCCCTCATTACCAATCTCCCTTTTTAACCTCATGCTTTCACATGCTCCAGGTGGGCAATAAGCTAAGGGTCCCAAAACTGGTTTCACAACTTTTGGCTTGTCATGTTAAATGCCCTGGTACTTAATGTTGTCTTTGAGGCCTCTCAAAAGTTTGAATTAGGAATAGTCACACAACATATATACTTTATTTATTTTTAATTTTGGCTGTGTTGGGCCTTTGTTGCTGCACCCGGGTTTTCTCTCGTTGCGGCAAGCGTGGGCTACTCTTCATTGCAGTGCACGGGCTTCTCATTGCGGTGACTTTTCTGGTTGCGGAGCACAGGCTCTAGGTGTGCAGGCTTCAGTAGTTGCAGCACGCAGGCTCAGTAGTTGTGGTGCGTGGGCTCTGGAGCACAGGCTCAGTAGTTGTGGCACTTGGGCTTAGTTGCTATGCGGCATGTGGGATCTTTCCAGACCAGGGATCGAACCCGTATCCCCTGAATTGGCAGGCAGATTCTCAACCACTGCACCACCAGGGAAGTCCCTACATATATACTTTAAATAAATGCCATTAAGTTACTTTCATTTTTACTAAGTGAATGAAACACTTTAGATAATTTTATATTTAGCATAGTAACAGAATTGAAAAATAAGTGACCTCCCCAAAACCTAGTCTAACACTAAAAATAATTCCAGTAACCGTAACATTTCATGTGGGTCTATTTTAAAAGTCTAAAATGAAAAAAACCCCCCCAGAAATAAAGTCTCTTCCACTAGTTCAAAGGTATAAAGGAATGCGATATTATTTGTGAATGCTACAGACAAGAAGTTGGCAAACGTTTTCTGTAAAGGGCCAGAGGGTAAATATTTTAAGCTTTGCAGGCCGTATATCTCTGTTGCAACTACTTAACTCTGCCACTGCAGCACAAAAGCAGCCACAGACAATATGTAAACAAATATGGCTGTGTTCCAATTACACTTTATCTACAAAACACCAAAATGGTCTGGCATTAGAGTTCACTTACCCTCAGTCTCCCACAAGAATTAATGAAAAGAGTGTTGGTTAACTAAAAGGGACTGTCATAATATAAACCATAATATATTATTTATTCTAATATATACTTATTAAACTGACATAATGGTCACAGTAGCATTAAACAAATATCAGCTTGTGGTCCAACATCTTTATCTAACTTAGGGAATTATTTCTATGCTAACCAGGGGAGCAAAACTGACCTCATTACATTTGATAAAAGGAAGTAAACAGTCCATCTTCTTGTATGACATTGTTTAGATCCCTCATCAAAAAAGAATGCCACTGTTATCAAGGCTTAACTACCTCTTTTTAATTACGAGAGTATTTGCATGAGAAAGATTAAAATGAAACTTACTCAAAAAAGGACAAAGTATCAAAGATCTTCATTGTAATTTAATGTTTACCTGGTAGTGATTTGCAGGTTGCTGATAAACGGGCTGAGCTGCCATCACAGTGGAACTAGATATAGAACGTGACTATAAGAGGAAAGAAAAAGAAAAATTATTTTAGGCAAGATTCTTTAAAATAGTTTATAATGAAATTTATCTCACATTGTTACCTAAACCCAGTCAACTTACGGTTTATGATTGGAAATGTCATTTTTCCACCTCTTATTGATATTATTACAACTCCACTTTAAGTCTATTGAAATTATCACAGTATTTCTACTTCCATGTGGTTTCATTTCCATAGTAATGCTAAAACAACCACCAGAAAAGTTGCTTTTAGTCCAAATATTATGAAAATACAGTTGTAAGGGAATGTTTAGAGGAAAAATGGCAGCTGGACTTAAGGTGACACTGCCTATTTCCATTGTGGAGACCAGCAGTAGATAATGTTTACATAGCATTTAGAACTGAATGAATAATCATATCTGACTTTGCCACTAATTTCCCATTATTTATGAATAATCAACATCCTATTCCTTTGTTATACATTTAATTAAAGCAAATACATTATTTATTGAAGAATTTGTTAAATTCTATTTTATCATTTTGATATTTAAATGAGATAGTCATCCAATAAATTTACAGGTGATTTATTACGTCTTAAAAAAGTACATGTAACACTTGATTATTCAAATGGAGTAAACCCCAAAATAGGCTATTTATTTATTTATTATTATTTTAAAAATTTATTTTTGGCTGCGTTGGGTCTTCGTTGTTGCACGTGGGCTTTCTCTAGTTGCGGCCAGCAGGGGCCACTCTTCGCTGCGGTGAGCGGGCTTCTCATTACAGTGGCTTCTCTTTGTTGCGGAGCATGGGCTCTAGGCACGTGGGCCTCAGTAGGTGTGGCACGTGGGGTCAGTAGTTGTGGCACACGGGCTTAGATACTCTGCGGCATGTGGTATCTTCCCAGACCAGGGCTTGAACCCCTGTCCCCTGCATCGGCAGGCGGATTCTTAACCACTGTGCCACCAGGGAAGTCCCAAAATAGGTTATTTAAAATCAGATCATTAGAAAAACAGGCAAATTGTATTACAAAATAGGTAAAATAGGCTTTAATGATAGCAATTAAAATTCAGTTTCTAACATGGGATCTAATTTGCATTGTTTTGTTTTAATGTTCACCCCTCCCCCCAAAACTGAAGAAAAGTATCATAGTTTTGCATAATTTTCAGACTATCATGTGCTAATAAAATTGTACCACAGATTAACATTAGAAAATAATAATGTAATTTATATTAATAGATTAAAGGAGGAAAAAATGATAATCTAAGCAGATACAGAAATTGCATTGTTAAAATTCAATACCCTTTCATGATAAAAACTCTTAGTAAACAGAATAAAAAGTAACTTCCTTAATTGACTTCGGGCAATAATTCTCAACCAGGTGCGACTCTGCCCACCCCCCACCCCCGCCAGGAAACATTTGGTAATATTTTGGTTTTCATAAATGTAGGGAGGCTAGGATACTGCTAAAAACCCTGCAATGTACAGCACAGTCTCCCACAAAAAAGAATCAGTTATCTGGCCCAAAATGTCAATAGTGCTGAGGTGGAGAAACCTTGGTTAAGGTTAAGAGTATCTTAACATATATATGTAGGTTTTGGAAGATACTCATAAAGCTTAACAGTGAGTTACTGAACTTATTTCTTTTTTTAAGAAGAAGTGTCATATAAATACTGTAGCAGAGACATTGCCAGTCAAAAACTTGATGAGAAAAAATGAGAAACAGAAGAGCAGAAAGAAACAGAAGTATTCTGAGTCCTAAATGATCGCCTATATGAGAGTTTGGGAGGGTTACTGATAAAATATCAACATTTACAAATCAAAAGCATTACTACACACCAGTCACAATCTATTAGGAAGTGTGATTAAAAAAATACATGATTCATAAAAGCAACAAGAACTACAGAGTACCTAAGAATAAATCAAACAAAAGATACGCCAAACTTTTTTTACAGAGAAAGAAAATTTTATTGATGGATGGAAACTCTAAATCATGTTTATGAATGGGAAAATTCAGTATTATCCCTAAATGTCCCAAGTTAATCTATATATTTAATGCAATTCTAACAAAAACTAAGGTTTTTCACAGAGCTGAACAAGCTGAATTATGAAACTTATATTTATAAAAGCAAAGACTTAAGGATAGATGAGGGACTCTTAAAGAACCGAGTAAGACTATGGCCCTATCAGATTTTAAGACTTATTATAAAGCAACAGGAATTAAAACAGAATTGGGCAGGGCAAACAAATACACCAATGGAACATAACAGAGAGCCCAGAAAGAGACTCCACACACAGAAACTCAGCATTTGACAGAGGATTCATTTCAAAACAGTGGAAGAGGATGGATTAGTCAATATGTAAACTGCAGATTTAGAATCTAGATGTGAAAAACAGCAACAGCATAGTATTTTTTTTAAAAAAACACTAAAAGCTGAAACCATAAAACATTAATACATCTATCAATATTAAAACAAAAAACTTGTGTATCACAAAAAATACCATAAAGTTAATGGACAAGCCACAAATTAAAACATATTTACAACCCATAGAACTCATATAATGAACTCAAGAAAAAGATAACAATCCCAACAGAAAAAATGGGCAAAAGAAATGAAGAGGCAGCTCATAGAAGAAACTGAAATGGCAAATAAATATATGAAAATATGTTTAATCTTACCACTGACTAGGCAAATGAAAGGTAAAACAAGATACCATTTCATAATAATATTGGCAAAAATACAAAAATCTAGTAAATTAAAGGACTGGCAGATTATGGAGAAATTGAAGCTCTCATAAACTGTTATCTAACCTTTATACTGGTACACTTTAAAAAGATATTTGGGAACATTTAGTCAAAGATGTGTATAGTCTATAAAGGTGAAATTCTACTTGTACATGTATGTCATAGCCTAGACCAATGTCGGAGAACACAAAAATCTTCCAGTGGTGCATGAGCATGAATAGGTTTAAGAGTATTAATTTTCAGATATTTCATATGGTCTCCTTTTGATTTGATCTGTCTGTGAATGTATCTGTGTACAATGGATTCTTTTCAAAACTCCCCTTTTACAACACTTTTCCCCTTCACTATGAAAGGCACACTCTCACTCATTCTGGATCTTGCTATAATGCTTTGTTCTGGAATGTATACATTAACAGAGCATCAAACAAACAGACAATTCAAAAAGGCAATGCCCTTGTGAAACAGGAAAGAGCAAAGCAAAAACAGTTTGTATAAGAAATATTAAGGGGAAGATGGTACCTTATTTCATATCCAGGGAACAAAATAAATTACAAGATGGTCACAGGGATACATATTAATTCATTTATTTGAACTTAAAAATAGAGTCAGAAAAAAAAATAGAGTCAGAATTTTCTAATAGAGTAAGTTTTATTTGATTGGTTAATTTTATTTGGTTGACTAGTTTTGTTAACTGAATTATAGAGCAGGCATTTTCCATTTTTTTTTCTTTTTTTTATTGTGAGATATTTGACATATGACATTATCCTAGTTTCAGGTGCATAACATAATGACTATGTGTATATATATATATATATATATATATATAAAAAGAATGAATGATAACCACAATGAGTCTAGTTAACATCCATCACTACATGTGGGACATTTTCCAGTCTTAAATGAAATCTATAGCTACAGACTTTTATAAAATATATATCTAAAGCAAACCTACAATATATAATATGTCTAAATTATTTAAAATTATGGTAAATTTTAGATTTCAACTTAAAAATGAGAGTATTCATAATTTTTCAAAAATATTTTAGAGGATATATAAGCAAAAAACTTTGAAGATTACTGTCCTAGACAAACTCTCACACAATATATACAAAATCTAGATGTTCAATTTAGTCTGCTTAAAATAATTTTATACTCTGTTTATTATTTATTTACTGTTATGCAACTTGCAACTTTTCTAAGTGGGGTAATGTATTATAATAAATAATTGTATTTATTATATTTGTATATTCAATATATTATAATCATAAACAATATATTAATTATATTTATAGAATTATATTCATACATATATATTCTTCACTCTCAGACCTACTAAATGTAGATCAGTAGGGGTTGGTTCTGCCCATTTTTTAAAAAAATTTTTTGAATTTTTTTTTTTATACAGCACTTTCTTATTAGTCATCAATTTTATACACATCAGTGTATACATGTCAATCCCAATTGCCCAATTCAGCACACCACCATCCCCACCCCCCCGTGGCTTTCCCCCCTTGATGTCCATATGTTTGTTCTCTACATCTGTGTCTCAACTTCTGCCCTGCAAACCGGTTCATCTGTACCATTTTTCTAGGTTCCACATACATGCGTTAATATACAATATTTGTTTTTCTCTTTCTGACTTACTTCACTCTGTATGACAGTCTCTAGATCCATCCAGGTCTCAACAAATGAATCAATTTCGTTCCTTTTTATGGCTGAGTAATATTCCATTGTATATATGTACCACATATTCTTTATCCATTTGTCGGTTGATGGGCATTTAGGTTGCTTCCATGACCTGTCTATTGTAAATAGTGCTGTAAGGAACATTGGGGTGCATGTGTCTTTTTGAATTATGGTTTTCTCTGGGTATATTCCCAGTAGCGGGATTGCTGGATCATATGGTAATTTTATTTTTAGTTTTTTTAAGGAACCTCCATACTGTTCTCCATAGTGGCTGTATCATTTTACATTCCCGCCAACAGTGCAAGAGGGTTCCGTTTTCTCCACACCCTCTCCAGCATTTGTTGTTTGTAGATTTTCTGATGATGCCCATTCTAACTGGTGTGAGGTGATAGATACCTCATTGTACTTTTGATTTGCATTTCTCTAATAATTAGTGATGTTGAGCAGCTTTCATGTGCTTCTTGGCCATCTGTATGTCTTCTTTGGAGAAATGTCTATTTAGGTCTTCTGCCCATTTTTGTTCAGAAAAAAACCAAAACAAAACTCCACATGTGATTCTCTGAACTTGTGGAATATGACCATAGAATGTACCCCAAGAAAGCTCCAAACGGATTAAAGACTTAAATATAAAGTAAAATGAAATCATGGAATAACTAGCAGAAAGTAAATCTGATTAGTTGTCAGATCCCTAGTGGGGTAAAATTTTAAGTGATGAAGTAAAATGAAAAAATTAATTGATTCAGTTATAAAACTTTTAAACTCAGAAAGAATGAAAAAGATTAAATAATACTGTATAAAATTTATATATAAAATGATGAAGTTTTGATTGTATATTGTCATGCAAATTGATTAGAATAAAAAATAGGACCTCGATGGTTAAATTTTAAAAAATCACAAGCAATTTACAAAGAGTACATGCAATATCAAAACTGCATTGAAAATACTTCATCTTACTAAATTTTTTTATTGACGTATAGTTGATTTACAATGTTGTGTTAGTTCCAGGTGTACAGCAAAGTGATTCAGTTATGCATATATATATAACTGTTTTTTCTGAATCTTTTCCCTTAGAGGTTATTACAAAATATTGAGTATAGTTTCCTCAATGTAGCCTTGATTGTAGAAAAAAACTTACAATGTCCCTCAATAGGGGAATATACACTCATACAATGGAATATTATAAAAAATTTAAATAAATGAACTAGATATGCTAGGATCAACATGGTTTAATCTCAAAAACATAATGTTGACTAGGAAAACCAGATTATTTATATGGTGTTTAAAAACCACCTAAAGCAATACAATGTATCTATTGTTTAAGAATCTCTACATCTGTAGTAAAAACATATAAAATGGACAGAAAAGATACTCTGGTTAACCTCTAAGGAGGAAAAGAGGGTAAGATAATTGGGGCAAGGAGACTTTACTTGAATTTGTCATATTTTATTCCCCCTATTAAAAGAACTTAAGTAAATATGGTAAAATGTTAACCTCTATTAAATTTGAGTGGTAGCTACATGGCTGTCATTATTTGTAATTGTCTGTGGTTGAAATATTTCAGAAATAAAAAATTTAATAGTAATAGATGGAAACCCTTCTAAAATGAAATTACTTACAGGCCAAGGTGGTGGGACAGAAGTTACCTCTGGAGTATGAAAATAAGCAACACCATTATGATAAGTGTAAGGATATCCAGTTGAAGTTGTTAGATACATTGTTCCAGCAGCTGGCATTACACTGGAACCTAAAACAAAGTGTAAATAGTAATAACTGAAATGTTCAGTTTGACATTTAAAAATGTAATTTCTGAACAATGGAAGATGTTTATCTTAACACATATATATAGTTACAGTAAAAATTGAATGTTATAAGTTCTTTAAAAAATTCCATATGTTAAAGTATCTTTGAAATATATATTTTCAAACTCACTACCTTAGAGCTTTTGTTAGCTTAAGGTAAATGAAAGAAAAAGAAACAAGTTTAATAAGGAATACTAAAAATTCACCAATTCAGATTTTAATACTAGTATAATGAAACACAAAACTTAACAATTGAGGTTATTATCAGCAAAGTCATTATTTTTACAAATATAAATTACATACAATTTAGAGTTTCCTGAAGACTATAGACACTGTAGTGAAGTTCCTAAGATCTTAGTAAGACTGTCTATTTGTAAAAGGCCAAAGAAAATGGAGGCAGTGAAATCAGACAACATTCTACTTTCCTCAAGACACTTGTTCCACCTTACAAATTCTTTGGATCTACTATCAGCAAGCCCTCACTCATGCTATGACTATATTTTATTCTCTAGTCTCCCTTTGCTACAACTGCTGCTATTACAAACATGACCACAGACCTTTCTGTTGCTAATTTTGGGTCCTCATCTCTTTTCCTAGGTGAAAGTTATATATACCCCTCCCCCAAAAATTAAAAAAAAATTCTTTTTTGTCAGGAGAAGACTTTAAAAATTTTATATGCCAAGTTAGATTTAAGTACTTGACCAACAGGTTATATAAATTACTGAACTGGAAATCCTCCTTCCACTATACTAGTGCTTCTCAAAATTTAAAATTCATTATAATAACCTAGACAGCTTATTAAAATACAAATTCCAGGTCTTTCAAGAGATTTTGATTCAGGAGGCCTGGGATAGGGCCTGAGGAACTGCATTTTGACAGATTCCAAGTGAAGTGTTGGTGGCTGCAAACCACACTGTAGGCAGCACTGGCCTGCCACTCTAAATAGCAGTACTACTTCTCAGCTTTTATATTTTCACCACATTTTATCTAGTATTGTTATAGCATATTTTAGTGGTTCTTAATCCAATGCTTCTGAGAATCTGATGAAAGACACAGACCCTTTTCTCAAAAATACATATATTCAAACAAAATTTTGCACGCAATTCAGAAGGTCTATGGATTTCCCTCCAAAGATCATCAAGGAACCACAGGTTCATCTGTTAAATAAATAAATTTTGAGTGTTTACTATTACAGGGTATTGAACTAGGCCCTAGTGATACAGCCAAAAAGAAAAAAGAAAAAAATTGGGCATGCCATGGCCTCTATCTTCATAGAAGTTAGGTTCTGGTAAGGAAGATAGTCATTAGCTAATTACACAATTAATTAAATACAATTTTGATAAAGACATGAAGAGGTAGTATAGGGTACAATGGTGAACATTTCAAATATATATATATATATATATATATATATGTATATATGTAGCATCTGTGAGGAAATGACATTTGTTTTGGGCTGAGCTTTAAAGAACGAATGGGATGGCAAAGATCACTCTAGGTAAAGAAAATAGTATATCAGGAATACGGTTATGTTCTGAAACTGAGGGAAGGCTAGATGGCTAAAGCATGGAAAGAAAAGAGAAGGACAGCTCGAAATAAGCAGAGAATAACATGATAAGATGTGCACTTCTGAAAGATCACTCTGGCTGCCTTGTGTGTGATAGGTTGGAAGGTAGCATGACTGGATTCAGAGAGACCAGTTAGGAGGCTTTTCTAGAAATTAAGGCAAGCAAAGTGGGTAGCTGGGTCTAGAATATTGGTAATGGAGATGGAAAAGAAGTGATAGATTTGAAAAAAAATGAGATAAGAATCCCTTATATTTTGTAAATATATCTTTAATACTTATTCTTTCTTTGTAGAAAAGTAAAAATAGCTTTGGAGTCAAACTGTCCTGGATTTGAAGGCTAGTGCTACCATTTGGTTAAGTTATTTAACCCCATACTTCTCAAATTTGGGCCTAGCATGGTTATGTCAGGAAATATGAAAAGGCACAGGCTGAACATGGTGATCTTCTTACAGAATCAGTCTTATTCAAACAATTATTTTTAGGAAACATTTTAATAAACAATAGTGTTATAGAACAGAATCCAAATTGCACATGAAGTTTTATATAAACCATGAGACTTTAAAGACAGTTTAAAGAAAATTAAAGAATTTAAAGAAAATTTATAATTCTGGTATGGTGCCATTGGGTTAAGACCCACAACATGACCAGATTAACTTTCCCCTACATTTAAGATTATTTCAGCAGAAATGTTTCTAAAACAATGACTTTACCTTTATAAGCTGAATTTTCTATTTACAAAAATAGAACTAATAATACCTCACAGATTGCTGTAAAGATTAAATGAAATAAATGAAAACCCATAACATTGACCCTTGTGCTGAATAGTTCTTAAATAACTATACATCTGTTTGAAAGCATTCAGCATATTGCTGATTTATGTTCTATTTTTAGCAACTTGTGGGTCATAATATGAACATTACTAGTTGTTCCTACTAATGGTGATAATGGGCTAAAGAACTGCTATTACATGTTATAGCTTAACTCTTGCAACTAGCAATAGTAGTCTGAAAATATTCAGCATTCTGCCATATTTACTGCATTCCATTTTGGAGTATCAACTTACTAAGGACACTTCAGTTATCTTCTAAATTAACAAATACTAAGTCAAAATTAAACTTGATATCTGTTAACTTCTAAGTCAAAAACAGAACAGTCCAAATGAGCACAATCTATTAATTTGTTAACAGATGTACAATATCCACCTAATGATTTAAACATCCCAGTAGACACTAGGACACAGCTAAGGAAGAATAAAAAATTGAGTTACAAATTTTATGCAAAGTTTCTCCTTCTAGCCAAAGATTCTGTTGGAGATTTTAATAAATATTATAGGTAAAAGTTAACTGTAAAGATGTCTAACTTAATAAATGGGAAGAGTGGGAAAAAAAGAGTAGAGTCGAAAGCATTACCAAAATTTGAGGAAGGCATCTAATTTAGCCAATTCCTAAAGCTTTAGGGATTGTTTCCTCTGTTAATTATGATACATGTGGTTGGGTTACAGTATGTACCATACAACCAGAGTTTCTGATATTTGTTCTATATTTTCACTTTCTGTAATTTTACTCTAATTTTAAATTACTTTGTTAATTAGAAAATTTTCTAAATAGTAATTAACTACTTTTAATTTCTTTTGTAATTTTAAACTATATTTTTATCATAAAAGATTTTTCCTTTAAAGATGTAACTATATGGAATATAGTTAAACATCATTATTTATATAAATTTTGCCTAGCCCCCCCCACCCTGCAAACTAATATATTTTAATTTGTGGTAAGAAATATTCATTTGACCACCAACTTCACTAAATTTACTTTACTAAATGAAAGAAAGCTGATATTTTAATGAAGTTCTATTAAAACTCTAATATTTCAAAAAAGAACCATGCAAAAATACTGAAAAATACATTAGTTCTCAATACATACGAGGGATCCCTACTTGTTGTTTTCTTATTGCTGGACCAATGTTCAGTTTCTTGTCCTTGTAATTAAGTTTTTCAGCCTAAAATAAGAAAAAATGAATTATTTTATTATCATTCTTTGAAAGTGGCAAGGCATAGTGGAAAGGGCAAAGTCTTTGGATTTAAATAGATCTGGGTGTGAATCTTGGTTCCAGTGCTCTGACCTTAATTCCTCACCTGACAATTTACTAGTTATTAGGGTATGTGAGCAGAGAGGTGAAAAATTTGAGTCGCCTTGCACACGTGGTCCCAGCTAAGGTCAAACACGGTGACACTGTTTTCTTTTTCCATCTTTTATACTGTAAACAATTGTCCTTTTCATGTTCTATTTAGTGTCATGTTTTTCACATTTTTGTGACTTATGTTGGTATTTTTGCTATTTAAAATGGCCCTCAAGTGTAGTGCTGAAGTGCTTGCTAGTGTTCCTAAGTGCAAAAAGTCTGTCATGTGACTTAATGGAGAAAATATGTGCTAGCTGGGTTTAATTCAGGCATAAGTTATAGTGCTGTTGGCCACGAGTTCAGTGTTAATGAATCAAAAAATATAAATTAAATATAATATCTTTAAACAGAAGCACCCATAGGACAAAGTTACGTATTGACTGGCTGATGAAAATATTGTGAGCAGAAGCTTGTGGGAACCTAGCCCTGTGTTCTTCTAGGTGCAGCACTTCAATATTTGCTAATTCAGTGTTTGTGGTGATTTTATAGAACACACCATTACAAATAATGAGAATCGACTGCATATGACTTAAATACAATTTAAATAAAATTTTTTCCTAAAAAATTTAAATGTTACAGTTGCCAAATTTAAAGTTATTATATATTGAACTGCAGGCTATAGACTTTTTCTATGAGTGCTCTTAGTTTATATAAAGTTTTTCAGAGGAGGGAAATAATCTCAGATAACCTCACTCTAGGAATCTACATTTGTAGTGTTTTTTAGGAATTCAAAGTGCTATTAACACTTCAGGAAAGATACATCCTTAAATTCTTAGTTTAAGCAAATAAAGTGAAAAATTATATTACAACTTCACAACCATACTTACATAATTATTTGGAATTTGTTTTTCTGCAGATAAAGTTTCTCTTTAATCTTTTTTTCTTAATTCATTTTTTTGGAGACCAATGTCAATCTTAAGATGCAAAGAAGATAAAATTTTTTTTTTTTTTTTTAGCAATCAATCATTGTACTGGAACCCTACTATTATTAAATTAATACCTTAAAGGATTAGTTTCAGAGAAAGAAGTTCTAAAAATTAAGTTAAATACACCAAAATATCTTACCTCTTGTAAAATTTTTTGTGCATCTTCTTGTGCTTCAAAAGTGACAAAGCCATACCTAAATAAATGCATTAATTATTATCTTAGAACATTACATTGGAATATATTAAGATTAATTTTTTTTTTTTAAGAATGGGCCATTGCGGGGGACTTCCCTGGCAGTCCAGCGGTTAAGCCTCTGCACTCCCAATGCAGGGGGCATGGGTTCGATCCCTGGTTGGGGAACATCCCACATGCCTCAAGGAGCAGCCAGAAAAAGAAAAAAAACAAAAAAGAAAGAATGGGCCATGGTAGGAGTGAACATTTTTCCTTGGTGCACCAGTATGCAAAACTTAGGAGAATCATTCACAGCTTATCACTGTCACCTCCTCTTAAAGGGAGGGGCCTAAAAGAAAAAAAACAACCCCGGGGATCTTGAAACAGTTTCAGACCTGAGCTGTAAGTAAGGCAGGAAAGCATGAGAGATTTGTATTCTGGTTTACAAATTGGGATGCAATAAATTTCAGTCCAGAGCACTAATCTCCTTTTAAAATGATAAAAGTTTGGTTTAAATAGAAATCAAAGTAGAAAAAAACCTTTAACAATTTAAAAGTTTCAACATAATAAAATTTTTTATGTTGGTAAATGAGTATACAAACATATTATTTACTATTATCAGCATACATAAACTGATAATGCAACTATTAGTATATTTCCCAAATAAAATTAATTAAAAATATGTACAACCCAGACTTTATATATGCTTTTTCATATATACTTGTTACCTTCAGAGTATAAATCATATGATCAAGACACAAATACACAATGCATGCCATGTCCAAAAAGCCAAAATAGGTAGAAAAAAAGGAATGAAAGAAATAAAAAGTATATCCCCCGAAAATGTAATCTCTATTTGCATAACTTAAGGAAACTGTTCTGAGTAGTGCTAAACTATTATTTTCCTCAATTCATAATTACTATTATATAATTATGTATTGTGTAATTAGTAAACATTTACTGTTTCTTCAATTCATAATTGCTGTATTATATATGAATTTTCTTTTTTAACAAAGGAATTTCTTTTTTTCTATTTGCCCAAACATTAAACAACGGCTAAAGAAATATTTTTACGTTATTATTAGTTTTTTTTTTTTGGTAGAACACATATACCACCCAGTGGAAAAAGCATAAAATACAGTCTACATTTCTATGTGTGTTTTTCAATGATTAAAAAATGTATATTACAAATTCTATAATAAAATAAATAAATAAATAAATAAAATAAAATAAAATAAAATAAAATAAAATAAAATAAAATAAAAGAGGTACAATCTCACTTCATCCTAATATTGATTGTCAGTCTCAGGAAATATCTCATTTGTTTAAAAATAACCTCTGCAGGATCTCATCTCTTCCAAAGTGTCCACCTGTCATACTTACATGTAGTTTCCCACTAATATAATTTTCCCTCTACCTTATTGGTCCCTTCTTTTATGCCTATAAGTATGTATATATTGTCTTTTTTTCAAGAAAACAAACATAATCCTTCATCGATTTCTTTAACTTTGCAGTCAAACTTCTTAAGCGAGTACCCTATGCAAACTACCGTTTTCTTCTCTGGTATTTGGCTTTTGAATATACCAATCCACTGAAACAGCTCTAAGGGCACTAGACAGTTCTAGACAAATCCTACTGCTTTTTTCCGTTAATTTTCATTCTCCTTGATTTGGCAATTAAAAATCATTCTCATTAAGAGTTATATTTCTCAGATTAGTCCCCTAATTAGGTCTTTGAGGCACAACCTATGGACATTCTTTTGTGTCAGCCTTTTTCAAGTAAAGTTCTCTCTAGTCTAAAGCAGGTATACAATTCCAAAAATATCAGATTCCTTTAGCTTCTGGTTCCTTGGCTACTGGACAAGAGCTACTTGACATTAAGTGCTTATTACCGAACAATGAATGGTCCCTCAGCCTTTGCAAGAATAACTTTCCAATAAATTAAGGAATATTATAGTGTTACTATTCCTCCAAAATACACAAACACACACACACTGAAATCAAAAGGTAGGAGGAAAGAAGAAGGCATGAAACTCTCTTTTAAAAAATGGAACCAAAGTAAATTAGTATACAAAACCTAGTAATCCAATAAAAATACAATTGTCAATTCCATGTACTATCCATAGTGATACTAACCCTTTGGGCACTCCAGCTCTGTCATTTACAATCTTCACTTCTTTTACAGACCCATACTGGGAAAAAAATTTTCTTAAATCATTTTCATTTGTCTAATGGTATAAAAAGAAAACACACAAAAACCATTTTAATTGATAAAAGATGAAACAACTCTTATGCTTGGTTTGGAGACACAAAAGGTAACATAAATAACAATATGGATGTAAGAATGCCTCTCATCATAGAAACAGTGCATGAAACCACTAGGTTATTAAAATCAATATGAATACTTTGCTTTATGCAGAGTTGTTAATACTATGTCGTAAAATATTACACTGCAATAAAATATTTTAAGCTGAATTTTTAAAAAACTACAAAGAAAGTTCACTATTTAAAGGAATTCTTGTTCTCTAGTTAGCCAGTTTTTAATAAAATTGTACTAGGCATGGCTATAACTATACTAAGGGCATACTACTATTGGTTCTTGTGATTCAGAGAGGCCCACAGTCATAGCAGTGGAACTAGGTTATGCTGGCCTATACCAGTCACTCTATTTTAATCAGCAGAGTCCCCAGGAAAAGTAAGGTCTTAGGAAGGAAATATATTTCCAAAAGTACCTGAACTCAATTTGTGATAACAACAGAGAGGCTACAAGATTTAAAGTTTTTAGATGCTTTATCTGTACTCAATATACATGTCAGCTAAATACAGACATTATGATGATATGCAAAAAAAATTGAGTCATAATTAGACTATCATGTAGAAGATGTCTACAAAGATAGTTTGGCATATCTGGTTTTAATTGAAATAGTCTCATAATAGACCCATATCACCTTTCTCTAGAGTATTCACACAAAATTCATTGCAATTTCATTTTCTGGTTCAGCTATAAGTGTTTGCCCCCAAGAGGAACTTTAAATATCCATAGAAAAAATTTTTCTTTATATATTTAGGAAAAGACATGCCTAACAGCAGAGCAATATTTCTTGAGTTCCACTGCTACCTCACTACTTACTGGTTTTTAGTTGGTAACCTAAAGCCTGCTAAACTGGATGATGACAAATACTGAGTTAATCTGAGAATAACTGACTGCCTCATTTCAATAAACACAAAATGGAATCAACGTCAGAATAAGGTTTCTATTAGAGACTTGAAAACAAATTAATTCAAACTATTCTCTGATAGAAAAATCACTAGCTCAATTTTGCAGCTCCATTTCTTTGCTGAAAAGTAAGGAGACAGAAAGTCAAGATGATTAAATATTAAAAAGGATGGGCTGTAGGGTTCTAAAAAGAAGAATTTTAAAAAGTTTGAGACTGCTTGCTACTATGGTAAACTATTTCCTTGCTGGAAATTACCTATGGTTTTGCGAAAGGTATAAGTATGAGGGAGAGAACCCTAGCGGTTATGTTAAAGCTATGACTGTATTGTAACAATGGCTCCCAAAGTTCATATTGTAGCTGATTGGCTTCAATAAAAACCTACACTAACCTAGCCATATAAATTATCACATTTATTGATTATTTATTTAAAAGTATACTAAGCTAATATAATATAAATTCTGAACAAGAATATTCAACTTGAATATTTCTGGTCAGCTATTAATATTTGCTACAGAAACAGAAATTTTTTTAAAAAAATAAGCATTTCATAAGAAATTATTTTCCTTAATTTATTTTTAGTGAACCAATCACATACTTGCTTAAGACTCACAGTTTTGACAAATACATTAAGTGTAACATTTATCTTGAGCAGGAAAAAAGTAATTCCATACAAATTGTGAGAGATTGATCATTGGAAGATAGCAAGTATTAAATGTCAAATATCATACCCTAATTGCACAAGTTTTTTTTTTTTTTTATTAAGACAACTCTCTCTGAAATTTCCAGTATGTAATATGGAAGCTTGGAAATCCTTCGATATATCCACTTGGAAGTAAGAGTGTTCCTAAATTATCCATGCTTGCCTTTCCTGTAGGTGTTTAACTACCACCACCCACATGGGGGTGCTGCAAAACATCTCACAAAACTATGCCTCTCTGAAAGAGTGAAATGGCTATTACATTGTTTAAACATATTACTGTTAAAATGCTTTATTCTGACTAGGACACAGGCCTTTTTTAGTGATCAAATTCTAAATTAGGTGATAGAAAGCAACCTGCAAAAGATAGAAGTCTAGGAAGTTACTCAGGAGCCTAAGATGAAAGTTGGGATAAAGAAACAGGATTTCATAAAACTGCTGTGTTTTTGTTTTCTTTCTCCTTAATTGAGTCTTCTTTTGAAAATTATAGTCACTCATTATTTGGGCTATTAGAGTGTTATGTAAAAAAGTATAATTAGTGTGGTATGGTGAAATAAAGCATGTGGAGATATGAGTCAGAAAAATAGAATTCTAGTTTTCACTTTGTCACTAAGTAGCTAGGAGCTTATAGATATGTCAGTGAGCCTCAATTTCCTTGTATGTGAAATTGGACAATTATATATACTCTATTTAACCTACATTGTTGTTGAAAAGATTCTTTGTATTAAGACAATTTGAAACCTACTAATCATTATGCAAATAGCAAATATGTTATTTTTAAAGTTGCAGGAAGAAACAATTTCTGAGAAATAAAACACTTCTAATACAAAGAATACACTATGTTGCATGCATAATTAGGTACCTTAAGGTCGATTCCTCCCACAAAGATGCGATTAGGGACCACTGTTCCATATCTTGGGGCACTTGTTGGGTTATTCAAAGGCACAGGTGACACAGGATTAGGGGATGGAGATAATGAATCTGTTTGCATCTGATTCGATGTTTGCTGTAAAATAAAATTCTTTTAAACTCTTAGTACTGGGTATAAGTTTTGATGCAGGATGAAAGCATATATCCTTCAAAAAGATAAGTCATTGACAAAATGTAGTATTTCAGACTTTAATTTTATGCTAATATTATGAAGATTATAATTAGAGCTAATAACTTTTGGGGGCAACAAAAATATAAGAAATGTAGAATTCATTCCTCTACAGAGACGATCTTAAATCTTAAATATATTATTTAAACATACATATGTTAGTTATTATTAACTGTACTATTTAAATATTATAAGCATTAAGAAGGAATATTAAACTCAAAAAGAAGTTTGAAAAAGAGAAGAATAACCCTGGACAGCTAGGAGCTGGCCTGGCACAACCAACTAGGCCCTGGTGTTAGGAGTTGGCCGGGAACTCACAGCTAGGCTGTGGTGTTCTCTTGTTAACAGAACACCAACATCGGGCAAGGCTCCTCTGTGATTGTGATGGATGAAGATAAAAACAAGATCACTCCATAATCATATCTGTACATTGACAAAAACAAAAGCATTACCCAAACCACAAGAATGACCAAACGTCCTTCTATCCTGCCTGATAAGACTGCTCCTTTTTTTAACAATCACAGCTTTAGCTTCAATCTATTTTTCTTGTCTCCTAGGTAAGAATTAACATACCCAATTATAGAATTACTCCCACCTCCTGACAACACGTATTTCAGAGTAAAGCTTTCTTCATTAAACCCTCTCTAAAAAGTGCTTAATATAAGCTTAAATCCTATAATAAGTTCTTCTAACACTTTGCTGAGAGGCCGCATGGTGTATGTTCTTCTTTGTTGTTAATTCAGAAGATCCAACTTTAATAAACTGCAGGTGTATTTGTGGTAGTCTTTGGCTAAAGGGCATTGACAAGTAAACAGACTCCAACACAAGTTCACGGTTTTTCAACTCTAAAGTCAAATTTTTAAAATGCACTTGGCAATTGGAAAAGTGGATCGATTTAGTAAAAAAAAAAAAAAAAAAATTGTATACCTATAACTCATAGGTATAAATTTTTATACTAAAATTTTTATACTAATTTTTTCTTCATGCTAAAGAATTGAGTTCTTATGTTCACAATTCTAAGTCAGGGGACCTAATTTAGATTCTAATAAATATATATTAACATATACACCTTCGCACAATGGCAAGATAGTAGACTCCTCAGGTACACCTGAAAAAAAACAAGGCTTGAGAATAGAATTTTAAAGAGAAACTAATTTAAGAACTTGCTAATTATTCTCCTTCTGGGAACACGAAACAGACTTTAGAGACCCTAAATGAGTGCTTCAAAAAGATTGGAGTTGATGATTTAGATTCTCTGAAAAACAAATTCATGAAAATGAATTTCCAACTTAGATAATGGAGTTGTTCTTTTTCACATTTGCTCTCCTTTCACTTCATTGGCCAATAAAACCATAATCCCTAAATTAATCTCTGCAAGATGTACAGAGAAATGGCTAGGCCAGTAGTGACTATGGGGCTATAGGCTGGACCTTATGGGCTCTATTCTCCATCTAGTCTTAAGGGGGAAAAACACTCCCTAGTAAGGGAGTTCATAAAAACATCTCTTAAACCACAGAGTCATCATATTTAATAATTGCTATGTTGTAGTTGCCAATTAAAGAAACTGGGAATCCTAAAAGCATCCTCCCTGGGCATCTGGACGTTATTTGTAACTTCAGTCACTTTACTTGTAAGACATAGTGCCCAGACTGGATGATTCTGGGATGCTTAGTTTTACTTTTCAAGTGTGGATTTGTATTGCTAGAGATAATAGAACAGCTCTGGTAGATACCATCTTTTCTCTCTGCTGGGTTACAGAATGTAGTCATTACCTATTTGCAAAGTTAAAAAGAAATCAATCTTCATGAAATTCTCTTCTTAAAAACAAAATGAATTCAATGGATGACCTCTTTTGTTCCAAATTTGTTTAAATAAAAGTCAACTCCATTAGTTTTCATTAAGAGAGGACTGACTTGAATGGAAGAGAACAGAGTGCTTTATTTCCAATCTTGAGAAATCAGTTAAATGACACCGAGGAAGGAAAAACATGAACTTTTTACATATCACTCACTTCATTCTTCATTTTCTAAGACTCCTGTTCTATTGTGGGTTCCAACTGTTTTATTTTTCTCCTTACCACTTACCAACATGTAATACCATGTAATTTATTTATTATGTTTGTTGTCTGTCTCTTTCCACTATAATGTAATGTTCAAGAAGGAAGAGGGTTTTGCCTGTTTTGTTCACCACAGCATCTAAAGTAGGGACCATATATAGCACATGTTCAATAAATATTTGTTGAACGAATGAATAAATGAGTAATTTCTTCCTGCTCACGATATGCCAACCCTTAGGTTGTGGGCTGAAGACTACAATATGAATAATAGCCTAGAAAATATTTTAATCTTGGTAGTAACAAGGCTCAGGTAGAGACAATCTTTAAGTTCCTCAGAGAAGGTTAGCGATTCACTGAGTTAATTAAGAAAGCCTCAAATTCTACTGGCAATAATTTTGCAAACGTATGAAAAGCACTTAGATTGGTGCTGTTTTGGGGTTAGAAGTAAGGGTCCTTAGTAAAACTTCTAGTACTAGTTTATTTAAAATTTCCCCCAAAGTAATGTGCCCCCACTGCCTCCTCCCCTCTAAAATTAACCTCGAAATCTATCATCTACTTTGCCAACAAAGACAACAGGAAAAGGGCGGTCTAACCGTCGCAGTTACGGCCTCCGTACTCCTTCCCCTCCGAAGCCAGCAAGCTGAGGCGGTGGGGGAAATGGCTGAGGCGACAACTCCCTTGGGTTCTCTCGGGTCATCATGAACTTGATCACTGTCTCGAGGATCCACCCCCTCCCCACCAAAGTGCGGGAGGGAAAAGAAAGCTAGCCAGCGAGAAATTTTGCCCTGCAAACCCGCCAGCAGCAGTGGCGGGAACCCTCAACGGCACCGACCCCGACGCCTGCCTAGTGTGCAGCCTGCCCTGCGAGCCTCGCATGGCGCTCGCTGATTGGCTGCTGGCGGGCGCCGCGCGGGGCGGGGCGGCACGTTGCCGCAGCCCCTCGGGCCTAAGCGGTCTCCCGCCCCTCCCCAGCCCAGCCCTGTCTGGCTTGGGCGCGCACCTGGTGCTAGAGGTTCCGGTCCGACCTGGGCTAGAGGTTCCGGTCCGACCTGCCGCTACCCAGCCCCGCCCCCGACCCCCGCCAGGTCTCTCGGGCCTTCTGGTCCCCAATGACCAGTCGAGGAGAGGAGGCGTCAGTCGCCAGGGCAACGCCTCAGGGGGGCGGCTGGGCGGAGTCCGGTGGGAGTGGGCGTCAAAGACGCGCGAGCCTAATTTCGGCGGGAAAGCTGTTTCTCTAGCCTGGGCCCGGCCTGGTGCACAGGGCCCAGCCACCCACCGCCTCCCGGTCGCTGCCGAGGTCTCCCAGCCCGTCTACACCCCGTCCAGGCCCGGTGGCCGCACCTTCCCGACCCCACGACACAACCCGACGGGGCCTGCAGGCGGGCCGCTCTTCGTCGCAGTCGATGGGGCTCCCTGACCACGTTACTTCCCGACAAAATCGCAGGCTCTAGACTCGCCCTTCCAGCCCCTCACAGACGGAGTCCACATTTCTCCTTCTCCCCACTACCCCGGGGCCCAGGACTCCGGGCCATGACCGCCGTACTCACTGCCCCGGACTTGGTCTCCATCCTCCTCTCTGTTCTTCAAAAGCCAGGGGGAAAGGAACAGAAACCTAAGGTTTGAAAGCACCTTCGCACCCAGGAAGCAGCACCACGTTTCCCGACGGAGACTCTCTCCCACTGGCGGCGACGGCGTTGGTGGCAGTTGCAGGGCCGGAGACTCGGACCCGGGTCTTGAACCTGCCACCCCGGGGGGTGAGGAGGGACAGGCGGCGTCGCCTAGGGCGGTGGACTGCGGTGCGGGCGGGTTTCGGCGGTGGCCCGTGGTCGCCGAGCTGGGCCGTCTCAGGGGCAGAGCGTACAGCAGGTCGGGGCGGGTGTGGAGTGTGCGGAGCGAGGACTCCCTTCTGGAGCCACTCTCGCCTGTTTTCGGACGGCTGGGGAGGAGAGAGCGAACGGTTATGCAGAGTTCCATGCACCGCACGCCTTTCACGCCTTTCCTTCTCCTCTTTGGAGAAAAGTTGGCCTCTGGGACTGGTGGGTTTCGAGAGGTGGAGGTGACCTCAGGCTTTACTAAGGTGCAAGAAGCCTGTTGAGGGGCGACTTCGGAAGGCTGGTGCGGGGCGAGGAGGCCAGTTTGCAGAGTCAAAGTGTGACTCCCTGGGGCCTGACGCGCCAAACTCGGAGGCTCCGGAGAAGCCTCGGACGCCGCGCCGCACCGCACCTGTTGTCGCCGTCACTCATCCCAGCCGAGCGGGCGGGGCGGCGCGGGAGGCTTGTCCGGGGCCCGCCGCGCCGCGCAGTCCGGGCTCCGGCGCCCGCCCCAGGCCCGCGCCCGCTGAGCACTGCCCGGCCGCCGCACAGCCTGGGGAGCCGGCCCGCGACAGAGCCACCCGCGCGCCCGAGGGGTGAGGACTGTGCCACTTGGCTGGAGTGGCTCTAGCCTCCTTGGGATCTCCTTTGGAAGAAGACTGCTTCGTAAAATATATTGCCAGAAGGTAGCTGCGATTTATTTACATATCTTGCCTATATCACATATTTTATGTATATAAAATATATAACCAATTTCTAAATAATTACAACTAGGTTAACTTCTGTAATAATGATGATGATTATGGCTACCATTTATCAAGGCCTCACTTTGGTGCCAGGCACAGTGCTTTACAATCAGTATCATTTAATCATTTCATTTTTACAGCAACCCTTCAAATAGATGCTCCTGTTATCTTCATATTACAGGTGAGCAAATGGAAATATGGAGGTTAAGTAATTTGGTCAAGTTCTAAAGCTATAGATGTAACCCGGGTGTCTCTCTGACAGCAGGTCATGATCTTAACCATTTTGACATATATTTTTAAAGAATTAACAACAACGACTGTTAAAAGTTACCTCAGTAATAACTTTCGTACTCTCTATTATAAAAGTTTGTTTTTTTTACTTTCAAGATAGTTAAAAATTATTATGTATTTAATTTTTAATCTGTTCAAACATTAGCTCTTCATATTATTTACCACAAATAAAATGGGAAACGTAATTATTTTCATTGAATACAGTTCAGCTAAAGCATCCTAATATACATTTGTGCATACAATTTAAGCTCAATTTCTCAGGTTTTAGTTTCTTTGGAAACAGAGACTATAAACCTATTAAAACTAAAACTCATGTTTCAAAGCAGAGTAATTTTGCTGTTCAATACCATTAGAACTGATCTTCTTTGGGCATTTTTTTCCAGTAGTAATGATGGGTTTAAGTAGATATTACTGACATCTCTTTTGTCCAAGTCTTTTTTGACTAAAAACACTTATTTTTCAACACTGTATTCACCATACTAGGTGTTCAGTCTGTGACACACAATTTAATCGACACAATTTAGGGAACACTGACTGTATATTTCAAGACCCGTGTTGGGTGCTAGGGGGCTATACTGTATTTGCAGTATGGTAATTCTCTGTTCTCCTTCTAAGTCTTTTAATCCTTAAAGCAAAACGTTTTTTTTGTTTTAAAACTTGCATAAAACATGTAGAATTATACAATTCAACGTAGTACACGTTTATAGAGTTCCTATTATGTTCAGTACATAATACTATATGCAGTGAGAGATAAGAAGATGAACAAGATCAAATCTCTGTCCTTGACGTGTTTTTAATCTAAAAAGAAAAGAAAAGACTAATTACTCAAAATAATTACATCTAAATTGCTTATAATAAATAGGATACATACAAAATAGGGTAAGTGGTACGTGAACTATGATCAAAGGCCTGTGGGAGTACAGAGAACAGCACTGTGGAGCACAGTGTCCAGGGCTGGGTAAGGGCACCGTCAAAGCTGAAATGCTGGTGTGAGTGGGAAGGTGAGAAAAGAAATTGATCCGCCATGTACCCAGCAGTGGGCAAAACACATAAATTTTTAAAAAAAAATTTTTTAATTTTATCTTATTTTTTTATACAGCAGGTTCTTATTAGTCATCAGTTTTATACACATCAGCGTATACATGTCAATCCCAATCGCCCAATTCATCACACCACCACCACCACCCCACTACTTTCCCCACTTGGTGTCCATACGTTTGTTCTCTACATCTATGTCTCAATTTCTGCCCTGCAAACCGGTTCATCTGTACCATTTTTCTAGGTTCCACATATATGCGTTAATATACGATATTTGTTTTTCTCTTTCTAACTGACTTCACTCTGTATGACAGTCTCTAGATCCATCCATGTCTCAACAAACGACCCAAATTCGTTCCTTTTTATGGCTGAGTAATATTCCATTGTATATATGTACGACATCTTCTTTATCCATTCGTCTGTCGATGGGCATTTAGGTTGCTTCCATGACCTGGCTATTGTAAATAGTGCTGCAAGGAACATTGGGGTGCATGTGTCTTTTTGGATTATGGTTTTCTCTGGGTATATGCCCAGTAGTGGGATTGCTGGATCATATGGTAATTTTATTTTTAGTTTTTTAAGGAACCTCCATACTGTTCTCCATAGTGGCTGTATCAATTTACATTCCCACCAACAGTGCAATAGGGTTCCCTTTTCTCCACACCCTCTCCAGTATTTATTATTTGTAGATTTTTTGAAGATGGCCATTCTAACTGGTGTGAGGTGATACCTCATTGTAGTTTTGATTTGCATTTCTCTAATAATTAGTGATGTTGAGCAGCTTTTCATGTGCTTCTTGGCCATCTGTATGTCTTCTTTGGAGAAATGTCTATTTAGGTCTTCTGCCCATTTTTGGATTGGGTTGTTTGTTTTTTTAATATTGAGCTGCATGAGCTGTTTATATATTTTGGAGATTAATCCTTTGTCCGTAGATTCATTTGCAAATATTTTCTCCCATTCTGAGGGTTGTCTTTTCATCTTGTTTATGGTTTCCTTTGCTGTGCAAAAGCTTTGAAGTTTCATTAGGTCCCATTTGTTTATTTTTGTTTTTATTTCCATTACTCTAGGAGGTGGATCAAGAAAGATCTTGCTGTGATTTATGTCAAAGAGTGTTCTTCCTGTGTTTTCCTCTAAGAGTTTTATAGTCCAGTCTTACATTTAGGTCTCTAATCCATTTTGAGTTTATTTTTTTGTATGGTGTTAGGGAGTATTCTAATTTCATTCTTTTACATGTAGCTGTCCAGTTTTCCCAGCACAACTTATTGAAGAGACTGTATTTCTCCATTGTATGTCCTTGCCTCCTTTGTCATAGATTAGTTGACCATAGGTGCATGGGTTTCACTCTGGGCTTTCTATCTTGTTCCATTGATCTATATTTCTGTTTCTGTGCCAGTACCATACTGTCTTGATTACTGTACTGTACTTTATACAAAGCTACTGCAGCTTTGTACTATAGTCTGAAGTCCGGGAGCCTGATTTCTCCAGCTCCGTTTTTCTTTCTCAAGATTGCTTTGGCTATTCAGGGTCTTTTGTGTTTCCATACAAATTGTGAAATTTTTTGTTCTAGTCCTGTGAAAAATGCCATTGGTAGTTTGATAGGGATTGCATTGAATTTGTAGATTGCTTTGGGTAGTAGAGTCATTTTCACAATGCTGATTCTTCCAATCCAAGAACGTGGTATATCTCTCCATCTGTTTGTATCATCTTTAGTTTATTTCATCAGTGTCTTATACTTTTCTGCATTCAGGTCTTTTGTCTCCTTAGGTAGGTTTATTCCTAGGTATTTAATTCTTTTTGTTGCAGTGGTAAATGGGAGTGTTTCCTTAATTTCTCTTTCAGATTTTTCATCATTAGTGTATAGGAATGCAAGAGATTTCTGTGCATTAATTTTGTATCCTG